TGATGGCACCACCGCTGTGCCGCCCGCCGCTAGCGCTGGCGTCGGTGCCGCCACCTTTTCTCCGGGCACCGGCGGGAGTTCCCAAGGCCGGAGGCCCCGCCGCCGTCGCCACGGCGCCTTTCGTGTCTAGAAAGCCACGTAAAACCCTGCGGACATCGATCAGCAAAGAAAACACAAGACCGGCGGACAAACATGGGCGGTTGTCACGATTGATCCGGAGTGGGAACGTGTGGTTGCTAGCGTTCTGTGTCATTGCTGTGGACTTACTGTTTGTACCCAGGGACAGACGTAAGCAAGATCGTGTGGCTGAAACTGTAGCAGAAAAAAACGGAGCGGGTTGTTGAAAAGGCGTACGAACGTTGCCAATTCCGCGGTATCCGAGATTTGTACCGGGTGCCGATTCTGTCCTCACGACATGATGACACGGGACGTAGACGTACTGTTCTTTCCGTTGCTGACGGGCTCGAAACATGCCTCCGGTCAATACGGTAGGGTGGGAAACACAAGAAAGGTCAAGGTACAGTTGTATATTTTACTGCCTTTGGGGTGAGGGCCAAGCGAAACGCAACCGAACAAGGACGAACGTACTTTTCGTATCCGTATCACACGGTACCGGCACCGTATCCAACGAGAGCGTGGTCGATGACATGATATCACCGGTAACCCGACAGAGAGGGCGATAACCGATAGACACTCACGTAGCCGACCACACGGAATAGGACAAGTTATCATCACCTTCCTTGTCCTACTTGTGGTGCCCCCGGGGATGTAGACGCGGTCATGGTCCAAAACAACACAAGACATACCAACCGGCCAACGGCACGATACAACCAAGCCCGGCCACTTAAGCGCAGCTCACTTGACGAGCTCGTGCTTGTCCATCTGGGAAGGGTCCGGAGGGTCGAACTCGAAGTGCTCCAAGATCTCTGCCCCTTCTTCGGCCCTGTCCTGGATGCCTTGGAGCCGCCTGGCGTAAGGCCGCCCGTCCGTGTCGGTTTCGCATATACGCGGCACAGACAGGCAGGCAGCGACAAGACAGACAGACGTAAGACTAAGGCCCAAGACGGAGTAAGAAGTACGACGAGTGACGTTAGACGAACCGACCAAAAATGTTGTGTTCTGCATGCTAGGTAAGACATACAGTAGTACTCAAGACACAGTAGGACAAAGACTACACGACACACGTATGGCCACGTCCGACATACGTTAGAGAGAGACAGAGAGAGAGAGACAGACAAGGGCGGGTGCGGTACAACATCGACCAAAAGGAAGCCTAGACCAAGGCACGAGAGAAGTCAAGCGATATGCCAAGCTCAACCCCATATTAACGACGCCCTTTCCCAGTCTCCTCGGTCCTGTTGTTCATAAGTGCTCAAGAGGTTTCGCCACTGGGGGCTGTCTGAGCAAAAAAATCACGTTCACGCTGGTCACAGAACGGAAGCAGCAGCCGATAGATTACGGCCGGCAATAGAAACAGTTCCAAGACCTACGCCCCAACCCCCGTCCGCGTCCCCCACCGCACACGACCCGCGCCCAGTTTTGTGGTTGTTTTTGATTATACCAACTTTCGAGCCGTTCTTCACCTGCGAGCCGTCCTTGACTGCATCGACGTGGACTCCAGCAACAGTTGCACCGGCCGGACAGGACAGGGCAGACTACACCCATAATACACAAACAATTCGCACGAAATAAATGAAAACATGAAACATACCTCTTTCGATCTCAGGTACGGTGTGGATGCTGTCGTCCAAGTACCTCTTAAGTCCTCCCATTCGTTCTTCATCTACTTTCTTCAAGAAGTGAGTGAAGGTCAATGGTCTATCGCGAAGAACGAAAAACACCTTCGCGATGACGGACTCCTAGGTGGTGTACGCACGCCTCGGGGCGATCCAGCGTAACGCTGCCACAAAACATACAATACAGACTAAAAATCACAAGCCATGAGTGTTGCTCAGATCACGAACGATACGTCTGCACTTGATGTTTCATGATGCTTCCCGGCAAAAACGCCTCTGTTGATATCGTTGGTGTTAGGGTATCGCCTCCGACCATTACCTTTTGGTTGCCTTCTTGAACCGCTGGAGGAGCTCCTGTGACTGCCGCAGGCGTGTTTCCCTCTCTTCAGCCTCCTGCATCACTCGCAGCAGGCGCTCCTCACTGCTCACGCGCAGAATCGATCGACAAGGACGTCCGGGACCACCAGCAAGAGGGGGATGGACAAGAGACGCAGAGGTAGGCGCGCATTTCGCTGGCTTTCGTTTTGGGCTTGCGTTGTTTCTCGGCGGACACACACAACCAGCAACTGTGGTGGACAACTTGACAAGATCATTTCCACGAAGAAATTTATCAAGTCGAGCGCGGTGGAAGGAGATGCAAGGGACGTCGGTCAGAGGAGTCCCATGTATTTTACCCTGCCCTTCGACCCCATGTCTACGAGTGCGTGGCACGTGGAGAACGCACGGCTTGCGATGAGCGAACCAAAATGAACCGATCTTTCCCTTCTTTTGTCCGCTTCTTTAGTCCGTCTCTAGCCGAACCAAAACAAGCACACATGCAACCCAAGCACCGCATTGCGAAGCACACAGAATTCCTTCACTCTACGCGGGCCGCTGAAAGTGATCTCGTTCGCATCGCCACATGCAAGTATGACCAGGCATATTAAGGCTTACAACACCGGGGAGGGGGGGAAGCCTAGCCAGGGGGGCCAAGGAGCCCCGTAGACTCACGACCTCTGTGATGCAAGGGTATGCGGGCAAGGGACGATTAGCTGAGCAACGTTATACATACCTTGGGGTGTGCCTTAGCGGCATGAGAGCGAACACGTGCTGCTCCGCTGTGAGGCCGTGCTGCCACCCCCTGTCCAGCAAGGCCTCGGTTAGGGGCAAGGCCAGCCGGTCGCATCGTTCCACTCGCTCGTCCCTGTCGGGAGCTCCACGGAACAGGTGCCTGTTCGTAGAACAACAGCCGTAACCGCCAAAAACGCCGGCAACACACACGACAAGGGACACATAGAATGAAGCACAAGAGGGAGACGGTAAGCCAAACGGACGAAACAGATCGAACCGCAAGCCAACCACGCAACGGCAGTGTTGGGTACCGACACACATGTGCAGGAAGGGAATTGTTCAGGTTTATCCCTTGACGACCCGAGGCTTACCCTTGAGACTCACGGCTCGTAGCTCAGAGAATGAGGGGCCGCTTACTGGGACTACGCAAAACACACGCAACACATGAAAACACACCGAAAGGAAGGAATTTGTTGGTGGAAACCTGTCCGAGGAGAACTAAATTCTGCCTCCAGCGTGGAAAAAAAAAAAAGTGCTAGAACACCCACACGGCTCATGCATACCTGGAGAACTGATCCAAGAGAAGAATGAGCGCCACCATCGAGCGGGGTCGTTCGCTCCAAGAGTCCGTCAGCTGCCCCGCCTCCGCCCGGAGCACCAGGATCCCGAAGCCCTTCCTGATGGTTTCGTCCATTCGGGGAAGCGCGTCTCCCTTGGGGTGCGGGGTCGGGAGGGGGGGGGGCGAACTCATGTTTTGCATGCCCCAGTTGTCAGATCATTGGCCACGCGTCTTCGAGAGGAGGGGTAGAATTGGTAAAGCGAGGAGGGTGGGGGCAAAAAGTGGAAACTTGTGCATGCCGTAATTTTGCCATTCCGAAACATACGCGAAGCTGGCGCCATCACGTGAGGGCTTGAAGACCCGGACCAGTTGACAGGTCGAGCCTCCATCTCTCTCACGGCACACACAAGCTGCAGCAGCAAAAACGAATGATACCCGGCCAAGAATGACAATCCATGCAAACCGCATTGAGGGACACACCACGCGCAACGGGTGGCCAGATGTAGAGGGCGATGATTGACTGCAGCCAACCTCCCTGGAATAAACAGGTACTTGTAGACCGCGAGCAGATTTCCCTCAAATTGTGTGCGTTCACAGAGGATCTTATCGACAGGCATCTTCAGGGGTGCTAAAATTGATGATTTTGGTAGTACTGCTGTCTAGACATCGCGGCCAACCAATCCACACAGTCTTCGCCACCATCTCAGACCTGCTGTGAATACAACACCCAACCGAACGCATATGTGCCCGCTCCGCGTCCGCCCCATCTATGCGTGTGTCGTCGACATAGTACGTGACATCACCAATACGGAGGCTTCAAACCCTAACCCACAACAGCTACTTAATAGAAGTAAATCGTAGAGGTATCGTAACCACCAAGTTTTCTGGTGCAGCAGTCAAATGGCGGTCACTTTTTCTCTTGGCATTTCAGCAGCTAGCCCCTTGTGGGGCTGTTTCAGACTTGAGAAGCATGCTCGTTTCAAAGGAGGCCGAACAAGGCCAATCACTCTATGTGCAGCATACACAGCAGGTACAGCAGTTGACTACAGCGGTGCGGCCATTCGGAACCGTCCTCGGGAATGCCGGGAGAGAACGGGGACCGAGAGGACCCTTTCGGGAGCAAATAAACCACCAGAGGGTACCAGCAGACGAGGAAATAGTTAGTGCCTGCCGCCCGTGGGCATGCATGGCGATTATGGAACAACCAAAGTCTAATTCATCAAGCAAACGACTTACTGCTGTGGTGTACACCGGTGTGAGAAGGGCCGGACGTGAGTACATGGTATCGAGTACCGTCATCTGCCACACTCAAAACGAAAACCTACCATCAAGAACGGTTCGTGTGCTATGTAGCGTCGACATGGGAGAGAATAACAAACAAAGGCTCGTACGCATACGCCAAATTGAACACGCAGAGAAACAGAGGTCGAGCGAAAACGATAGCAGTCTCACGTCCACCTGTGCAAGGAAACCAAGGAGCATATGGTGCACAGCAGTACTGTAGTCCGCCAGGTTCAGTACACACCGACGTGTACACACGGGGGGAACACACTGCAACACCAGGACAACACTGGCACACCTGTGCAAACCACTTGGTGCGATGGTTGTCCGCCGTGCTACCGTCAAACCACAGAGACAGCACACTCTCCACCTCCTCCTCCTCCTCATCGTGCCGTCGCGACTCGCCGGCAGCAACATCCACGTCAACAGCAGCAGCAGTGATACCACCGCCGTTGTAGCTGTCCCTCGTGCTCTCGGCCGTGGGAGTGGGGATATCCCCTGGCGTCGCCATGTTCCTCCGAGGGAAAGTGGGACTTTAGACGAGGACAGCTGATGATTCCAAATAAGAAGTGACAGCGAACGTCGTTGTCTCAGTCTGGCTGCGGCTATGGCTTACAACAACAACCGGTCTGCGGGTGTGCTGCCGGTGTGTACTGGCTGGTGCTGTGTGCTGTGTGTGGTTCTGGATGTGGTGAGACTCGGTTGTTCCTCCTCGGGAGTCAAGAGAACCAACAGGATTCTCACCGCATATTATCTTGCAGACTCAGTGAGTCCCAAGGATGTGCGTTGAGGGACTCGCCACCCACCCACTCCTGTTGGACTCTCGCAGCGAAGATGGAGACGGTGCTACCGTGGGGTAAAGGGGTGCTACAACGGGCGGACAGGTCCATGATCACATGGCATAAGGAGGAAGAAAGGCCAGCAGACTACACGTACACAGGCGCAGAATGAGGAAGAGCCGGACAGACGCGCAAAGAGAGACCACCGAACGGGGAGGGGTGGTACAGTCGTCTGATTCTTACGTTTAGCCTTTGTACAAGCTACACATGACCCTCTCCCTCGCGAACTCTCAAGCCATGAACACAAAACGCGTACAGTACGTAGCGCATCAAGAGAGCACTCAACCCGCGCAACATACGCGTGAAACGTCGTCACTCCAGAATAGCGCCTCTGGTGTTGGCCAAGGCTCGTGGTGGGCTACAAATGGCCGCTGAACGCTAGTAGGTAAAAGCACGTTGTTCAAAGTTGTCTTTGTGTTTGATGTAATGTTGAGGACGAAGTGGTTAACTGCCAAACTCTTTAGTTGCTGGCGCTATCCTGCAGCAGCACATGATATGCCGGCCATAATCGTCGTGTTCTTCAACTTCATACTACAAAAAAATAAAAGGGAGGAGAGAGTGCGGGGATAGAGACAGAAGTACAGCAGAAAAGAGACGAGTGTACCGCTGTAGACGCAACAGCTATCTCCACCCATAGGCCATGAGGGCTGCCCGCGACAGGACGGTGGGCACAGACAGGGTCATAGAAGGGTTGATGCGTGGTCACGGTGCGGCCGGTAGGGCAGGTTAGGCTTGAAGACCTCGAAACGATCAGTCGTCAAGCCGCCTAATGTGGTACTCTTTTTCAGTATATTCAAATGATCAGTGAAAATGATCAGCAAGAGGGCTTGTAGACCCATAGCTGGTTCTTGCTTCTGTACTTCTCTGTCTCCTCCCCAATGTGAGCCCTGCCGGCTCACTGCTGCTCCTTTGACTTTCCCACAATTCCCACAAGCACGCCAGCACACCAGCACACACCTACCTTGCATCAGTGGCTCTCTAGGTTCGGGCGAGGTTATGTGTGGGGCAATGATAATAGTGTATGTGTTACTAAAGTATTGCTGTATGTTGGACTCGTCTATGCTGCTGCTGCTGCGTATATAGCTGCTGATATGATGACTGCTGGATCTTGGGATTGTACGAATTTCAAATTTAGAGGAAATGCAGCATACCACGATATCCTGGCCTGGTTGGGCTTGAATTGCCCCTTTTCGCTGTCCTCCTGTCGTTGGTTTAGTGGCTTCGGAGATTCGGGCGAGGGCATGTATGTGGAGCTATTGATGTGTGTCTCTGTTAAAGGACACGGGGAGAGATTCATGGTGGCATTCGCATTTAGAGCAGTGTGCATTTTTATAATTTTGGCCGTTCCAGGGACCTTGATATTACCCGCTCCTGGCACTAACGTCTTGTCATTGGTCACCGGGTAGCGCTGTCGATGCGAATAATAAAGCCACACCTACCTATTGACTTGCCAACACCTGACGTTGAGGGATACAGGGCAGCAACTCCATGGCATACCACAACACCAGCATTTGCAAATGGTCAATCAATGATCTGTTAGGACGCTTGTAGGCCCAAAAGGGTTCATCAGACGGTGTGTTGGTTGGAATCAGTCTCCGTATGTTGGCACCATGGGGTTTTCGCATCTTATACCGTGCCACGACGGGTTCGTTTGCAGGTTGACGTGTTTCTCTGGTTCGATAGATGTTCCTTCGTCCCCCCGCAGAATACCCGACGTTCCTATGTCACGAGTGGCGCCTACCTCTGTTCAGCATACTATGTTTCTTCTATTGAAGCGTACCTCCATTCATTCGTACCGCCGGGGTGTGTTGCGCGGGCGCGTGAACTGGGCGGTCGCCGTCGGGCTCGCTCTCATCAAGTTTTTATAGACGAGTATTCGGAGCGGCCGTGCCGAGTTAAGTATATGACGTGACATGTTATGATATTCTTGCGTAAGGCCATCCGTGGATCCTCACGTCCACTGAACTCAAAGAGTGCTCTCGTGGGGAGCGATGGGGTATCATGTTAGCGCTGGGAGAAGCACCGACTCACGAGGGACGTTTCCAGTCGGTTGGTTTCGCCCGTGCTTGCTTGTCGCCCTTTACCTGTCCGGATCTCCGCCTTTTGTTTTGCGCACTGCGCTCGGTCGCGAAACGTTTGCAGCATCATCACCGTTCGGCCACCCTGAACAATGCGTCACGACCTCGCCGCGCGCACGCCCATACGTTGCAGCATCTACAATAATGTGTTTCCCTTGTGCTTTGTACTTTGTTTCACTTTATTATATATCATGCGAGACCAACCCACTACGACCCCCACAATACCTTCCGTATAGTATGGTAGACTTTACAGAGAAGTCTACATAGACTAGATGATGAGTAGAATGAGCTGTACAGACTAGGTAGATAGGCTGTAGACATTTTTGTGTGGCAGACAAGAAGATGGAGTGCTTTTGGGATCAGTAGTCTACTGCTTTATGTTTGTCAAAATAGTTTCTCATCTCCACTATACTATGTAGTGGCCGAGGCTTGGTCTACCACACATAGGTAGTCTTCTGAGTCTTTTTCTATCATGGCTCCATTGATGCACATCTCCGACGTCTAGACTATGCATGCATGCATGCATGCATGCACGCACTCTTGACCCCCCTGTAGAAAGAAGCAAGTCAGGAATCTGTAGGTGCATGATGGTGTTGCCGCAAGTCTTTCGGCCGTGTTTCGTTTCTGTTCAATCACACGCTTACATTCGTTGTAGCCGTCTTTTGAAGAGCCGTACCGCGGTGTCATGGGCAGTTCAAATTTCGACCGTGTCCACACGTGTATGTGTATGTAGACTATTAGTCTAGACAACGAGTTGAAGGCTCAACACTGCCGTAGCACACACGAACGCAAAAAAGAACACAAACGTAAAAACATATAGCACTTGTTTTGCTGGGGTTGAACCCGAGACCTAGCTCTTGGAACGTATCAAGGAAAAATAAAATGTGTCGAAATAACGTACACCAGCATCGAGCTATTTTGGAAGCAAAACTACACCACCTCTCGAGCAGTGTTCCCTTGAAGATATTGGGGGACAAGGGCAAACACTGACATGTGCAACCTTTTTTTAGCCGCTCATGGCTATTAAGAAGGTAATGAGGTAGTTACGTGTGTGATTTTCCCTTGATAAAATCCGTTTGGTGTTAGCAAACATCGTGAGGCAGGTTCGGCACTGGAATATCATTCTTGTATTCCTGATAAAATGAATTGTTGACGTGGTACTGTAGTACACCCAAGCTTGCTCTCCTACCGGTTCGGGGTGCAAGGAAAACCCACGCATGATAAAATTGTTGCCTTTCATTTGCTCCCTTAGGTCTTATCCGGGAGAGGAGGGTTCACCGCTGCGTTTCTGTTCGGCTAGAGTCACTCTCAAGAAAGCAGGTGTGCTCTAGTTGGATGGATGGTGTTGTGATGTCAGGGGGGGAAAGAGGTCGACAGAACCGATCGCAGGGAATACCCCCGGAAGGGCTAGAATTCCGCGTCCGAGCACATCTGCTTCGACGGGTAATCCTCCTGGTGCACAGAGATACGGAAAGGCTTTGCGGTGTTCGCCCGCCCTATTGTTGTTGCAGAATGCTTCGCATGAACGTTGGAGCTCTCGCGGATGCTGTTGCCAGCGTTTGGTGGCGACGTGCCTCGGTGAGTGAAATTCGTTTGCTACGTTGCATATGGGCAACAAGAGGTACCATAGCATCATCTGTGGACTCATCTTTTCGTGCTCGAGCACTTCTTCTTGGAAAGCAGTCACTACGATAGCTGTATCCAACGATCATCCGACCACCAACAGCCCAACGGGTACAACGAACGTACGAAACGCCCTACTGGTCTCCTGCCCAGGATATATGATCATTTCTGATCGAAAAGCCGCGCCCGGAATGGACAACCCCGCGTCTACCGTGTCTAGATTGAGTCTATTTAAACTACGGCACTGCATCTTGAATCCTCTACGCTTGAGTACCATGCGAAAAGATGGGACGGTCCATAGCAAGAGGTGGTGCGCGGGGACACAAAATTGGTTTTCAGTGTGGAGGGGGTGGGCACCCATCCAAACTTACCGTCATGCGTTCCAACGAAATGGGTCAAAACGGACAAACATGTGCGTAACATGAACAGCTACTGACGGAGTTCAGTGTCAATGAATATCAAAGAGAGGCACCTTTACTGCACATGCGTTTACGAATGGACCTTCAAATTGCGAGCGACGTTTGTCATGGGATGAAGGCAATACAATAATTCTTGTAGAAGGCACGCCCACCGGCCATCCATGTTGATGTCACCGGTCGCGACGAGGAGTGAATGATGTTACCCGTCCCTGCTGCGGGGCATGCTGTGCAATATATTTAATGGCATGCATGATGTTTCGCTCATTGTTGGGAGCCAGGTCTCGAACGCAGTCTGTGTGGCGAACCCATCCGCTGTCTTCAATATCCCGAAGAATTTCAGAGTCTGTTTCACTCCACGATACACTACTATTGCTGTATGCTAGAGATCGCTTTTAGCAGCTCCTTCTCGACAGGCGCTAGCCTGATTCACACGAAAAATAACCGTGACCGTCAAACCATCTACTTCGTGGTTGTTGGTGTTCTCGGTGAAGGCCATATATTCATCAAAGGGCGTGAAACAAAACTAGTCTCCTAACGTTCCGTGGAAGCTTGACAAAAAGATTTCGTGAAAGCTGGGTGGACGCACGCATACGTTGGAGACAGATAGGCCAACCTTACCACCAAATGCCGGTGGTGCCGTCCAAATTTCTTCGTGGAACTTGCCAAGAGACAATGGCTCCTTTCCGTTCAAGTTGCAGCTCAACATGATCGACGTGCCAAGAATACCCAAACCCTCTCCATCCCACAGGCATGACTTCGTACAAGGTTGCTGTATCCCAGGACAGGTACGCAAGTTTTCATGGAAACTGATGCGCCTTTCGTTTCCGTGGAAGACGAATCGAAGAATCCCTTCGAAGCTGAGAAACATTTCGTGGAGGAAGTAGTGACTTTCACGGATGGAATCAGATTGGGTGTTGGTCATGGAAGCAATTAAGTGTGAATCGACTTTTTGACGCACTCAAGCAGAAGGCTTCCATGCCTCCCTTCCATGGAAGTGTCGCTTAATTCCCATGGAAGTTTGGCTTGGAGGAAGCTGAACACATTTGGCCTGGTCGATCCTGGTTGCCAGCTCCCCCCGGATGGAAGGGTCGCTTGGTTCCATGCAAGGGAGCTGGACAAATCGACTATCTCAGCAGTGTCGTGGCGAAATTTGACTCTGGCTGGCTGACTGACATCACCCACCGGCCAAGTGTGTTTTCGGCCAATCAGAATTTATCCGGACCGATGTTGACCACGAGAACCTGCGCACACCGGTCTGCGACTTCTCCCCACAGCAGCAGCGGTTTCTTCGGCTTGGGTCAAAAGCGGAGCGTGGTTTCGGTGAAAACGCGCGTTTCCGCCTCTCGTACGCTACGGTCAGGCGGCATGAAAATGCTCCTCGGGGCTGCCTACAATGAGTTGTCCCGACATTTAATGAGAAAAACTCCGAAAGTTTCAATCTTGAGGCCAGATTCAAACGTACAACCCAAATGTCCGAACTGCGTAGTTACCGCTGGACCACCAGCCACGTTTAGCTGTCGTAGTTTAACCAAACACACGCACAGCACATTCGTTTCAACCATATTCGTCCCCTCCAATTGCATCAACGCTTATTGCGTATCTGTTAAATGCGCAAAAGAAAAAGAAGCGAGACGCAATTTCTAGTAAACCCACATCGCTCTTCATTCCCGAACACGTTGACGATGCACATCGATGCTTGCAAAAATCCGAAACCAGTAGACTATAAAACCCCCAAGCAAGTCAATCGAATCCTGACACTTGGTCGTGGGGCTATCTCAGGCCATGTACAAGTATCTACAAGCCGCGAGTCGGCGCCCTCACATCTAGCTCGCCTGCAAAGCACGTGCGCTTAGGGGGAATCTGAGGGCATGCCCGAAAACCCAATGGCAACGTAATCACACTTCGTCCGCGAAAACAAAACTACCGCGAGAGGACCTCCGCCGCTGGTGGTGCCTTTTGGGCCATTCCAACATCCTTAACCCCCATACCGCCCTTTCGTGGGGGTTGATACATACAAGCCACGCCGCGGCTGTTGTGCAACTTCACTGCCGCCAGCTTCAGGTACATGGCCCCCTTGCTTGGTTAAAAAAGACGGTCTCTCGTGCGCAACCTAATGCTTCAGCGGAACACGACACTACCTACCCCCTGCACATCTCGACATGACACAAACACTTCCCAAACGACAAGCGCACAATCCCGATGTGGGCAAAAGACACAACAACAACCCACCGCACACCGGATAAAAACTCGACGGTGTTTCACACGCACATCATTTCGCGCCTCCTGCACCTCCTCGCCCCCCACCACCTGAGCTTTTGTTCGTCCGCATCTTGGACAAGAGATCTCGTTGCTTCTGCGTCAGCTCTTTCCGATCCCTCGATGGCGGAGCACTTGCAGTGGCTGAGGACGCCGCTGTCCCTGCGCCTCCTTTTTTATCATTGGCACCTTCTTTCTTGGACTTATGAAAAATAGAGGATTTAGATCATGACACGAACACGGGGCGCGGGTGAGAGGGCGGGGCGAAGAAAGGGCGGTGAGCACCGTCCAGCGACCAGCAACAGTTTACCAACCTGTGGGTGGGACCCCAAGATGTAGGTGGGTAGCAGAGGCGACCGGCTTCCTTACCACCCCTCCAGTGCTGCAATGTCTTCTCCCATGCCACACCAAGCGACAGGGCCTCGCTGTTGTTTTCGGCCACCAATATCCCGCATGCACCATGATCATTGTGTTCAGCGTCCGCGGAGGCTGACACGCAAGACACACAGCGTCTGCTACAGACTCTGCCGAGAAGGCCACAAACCTCTCCTAGACCCGCCCAAGTCGCGATGGTGGCCGCGCGGTTGACCCAAGGCGGGATCCTTTTCCCGGTAAGGGCGAAGGCGAGCTCGTCGCAGAAGTGGTTGCAGTTGTTGCGGATGACGTCGTATTCTCCCTCCGCGAATCCCTCCGCCTTGAGGCCGTTGAGGATGCGCCGCACGTCTGGCATGGTCCCGATGAAGTCTCCCAGCACCTGTTTCGCATGCGGTCAAATATGTTGTACGGTTTTTTTCCGTTTGGGTCCGTTGGTCGAGGAGACGGGGAGCGTATTCGACGCGTACCTTATCGCAATATTTGGAATAAAATTATCTGCCGAGACGCCATATGCATCGACATGGAGGGTTGTGTGCATGCCCAACCGTGGGGGGAGGAAAACTGAACCGGCTGCGTAGTTTCTGCCGCGGTACGGGGATCGGTCTTTCCAAACTAAGGCTGCGCAAAACTACCCACCTATTAATACGCACGTGGTTGACGAGTTAGGCGCGTCGACTAGAGCGCAGCGGCCATCTAGTTGCCGGCAGGTTGCGGGTCATCGCACAGATCGGGTTCATCGCACAGGGATGCGAATAAAAAAACACAATTCACACCACGTGAAATATTTCGATTTCCCCACAGGTGCCGGGGACCCGCAACCTGCCGGCTTTGCGACGCAATTGTCGCCGTGCTGGTACACTATTGCCAGGCGCAAGGTGCTGGAGAGATCGGAAACTCAAGCTCACACCTCGAAACGACTGCATGATACCAGCTTTCATGCGCCCGAAATGAGGAAAGGAAACTACCAAGTATCGCTTGCTCCTGTCGTTCAGCCGACCGCTCCAAGGTACGTATCTACAAGATCGTGCGCATCGGGCTACAAGCGGAATTCCCGATACGTGAAAACATGAAGCTCTCGATGTACCTCTGCAGCATTCCAGCACGCGAAATAATCAGCGACGCCTTTCTCTTTCATAGGAAGGTGGTGCTGAGCGCACGTTGTGCTCGTAGTATACTCTCCCCATCTCAACCCTTCTCAAAACCCAGTTAGTAACAGGCTATTGGTCCAGACAAAAAATCAACGAGGCCTCTCCGCGCCCGCGTTTGGTCGGGGAGCACACCGCGGCGTTTCTCACCAACAGCGAAAAAAACGCCGCAAAACATGCCGCACACAAAATAAAATCAATCAATCCGCCTGCCTCGGTGGTCTTGAACGAGACGCCGTCCCCTGCGATCTGGCGAGGCGGGTGTTGCGCGACCCCGGCCTCGCTGAACGTGTATTCGACCCCGCCGATCTCCAGCCCGCTGTGGTACGCCCCCAGCCCAATGTGCTGCAGCCACGAGTTCGACTCGTGAAGGTCGTACACCTGTTTCGTGGGAGAAAAAAAAACAGCGCGGGGTACTTTCCGTTTTTTTTCTTGACTGGGCGCGGTGGTTCAAAGGGCGCGACGCGTCATCATCAATCGAGAAACGCACCGATCGCCGCGGGAGAGACGCGATGCAACCCATGTGTTGGACGGTATTGAAGTGTAAAGCGAAGCCCTACAGGACGCCGCGGCCGGATGACCGCATCTCAAGCGTTGCATGTGGCAGCGTGTGACTGGTTATACGTTCGTTCGCTGCTCTCGTGACAACCAAATCAGCACTATTGTGGGGGACATCACTGCTATGTTGTGGCTCTAGTACTGGCAAACGGCAAACGGACTTCGGTTATAGCAGTACACTTGGAAGTCATGTACGTATGTATGTACGTACTTTCATGATTTGTTCCCTTCTACAGCAGTATCAATCACGAGTGATTTTCTACGATCAAGATGCTGCATGGGTGTGTGCACCACGACCCCAACCTGACTTGCTCCGACATCAAAGTATGTATACTCGTTTGCAGGGTGTGCGCGTCTAGTTCCTCACGTGATACCACATGCATTCCCGTACAAGACAGCACAGTCATCATCCTGAGACGGAGAGGCCTGGAGGCTGGAAATGCGGCGTAATTAACTATTCAGCGGCGTCGGAGCAACTAAGTCTTGACACACTGATACAAAACCCCAAGGGTACGCTCTCATAGAACCAATCAAGAAGAGAGGGAATTGAAAGTGAAACAACGTGCACACCAGCAGAGCACCTACGCATCAAGAGGCTGGAATTCTGCGTAGATAATGCCACTGCTCCCTCGCACTCCGAAGCGAGCAACCGGACGAAACAGGCTGACACACGCTCGCGCTGCACAGAACCAGCGTGCGTGTCTCTTACTTACGGCAAGACAGCTCACATTCAACTGGACCGGCCGCACCCCTGAGCTCATGTTGAAATGTGGGGTTCAAGGATGTACCCGAGCACCCAGAGGCAAGCACGCCACGCAAGAGAGACACAGGAGCACTACAACAGCAGTACAAGGAGCATCATCATCAGTCATTGAAGTTTTCTTGTTCTTGGAGGGGGGTCGTAAAATCGAAGAGAATAAACGGATTTGGAGGGGGGTCGTAAAATCGAAGAGAATAAACGGCCCCCCCGCCACGTCTTTGACATAAAACACATTTTCATGTGCATGATGATGTCTCTTATGTCTCTTTCAGCTTCTTTCACGCCCTCTCTCTCGAGACGTGGTATTTAGGCTGAGGTGATGGGTCTGTTCGGGGCAGAAAAAACTTGGAAGCTTAGCAGAATGATGGCACCTAGCGCGGATCGTGATTTCTTGCCCACTGAAACTACAATTGAATATGCATGTGCGTCGAAGATGCACGGTTCAAGCGGTACCATGAAGTACTAATTCCAGCAGTAGTATGATGTACCGCATCTCTCATCCATCATTCATTTGCCTCCCGTACCCGCAATAATACAGGACGATCACGGGGGTTCTCTACTGTTTGCTGAAAGCTGCACGGGGGGCACGGCTTGACCGCTCTACATTCATTCTTGCATGGGTCGGGATGACGACGGAACGACATACTCCACACACATACATGCTTTTCGGTTGTTCTCGCAGTAGTACTGCTGTACCGTGCACCTTCAAAGCAACAGACGAGACGGTCCCGGTATCGGGCGGTACGAAAACATTCGTTCGACCATCTCTTTCGCCCGTACATGTTGTCCCTTTTGCGACGTGCTCGAGTATTTCCTTTATCATGTCGACCACCGTAGATAAAAAAAAACGGGGCCAGCCGCCAAAAGGCGAAAAACTACGCAGCAACTAGCAACCTCTCCTCCAATTACGTCGCTTGCGTGACACATGCGTCCAACCATCCATCCACCCCACCCCACCCTAAGGTTTCTTGCCCCTCTACAAGAAGAGTGGGCGAACAAGGGGCAGAACCATCGAAGGCCAAAACATCATACCACAAGGCAGGCACGCGATTCCTTGCCAATTGTACGATTTCCCTTCCGGTCACACACATCCTTCCTCCCAGGGATCTCCTACCGCCATACACTACGGGCCCGCAGGAAAGAAAAGTTTGGTGAACAAACAAGAGGGTCACATTTTCACGAAAAAATAGAAAAATGGGTTGAAATACACACCTCTGCGGTGGATCCTTACACTAACATACTCTTCCCAACAACCATATCCTCGACAATCAAACGAAATAAGAAACTGAGCCTCGACCCGTTTCTTGATCTCCGGGCCGCAACGTGGCAGGTTGGACCTCAAAATGTACCAGGTCAATCTGTCCGATCTTGTGAAGTCGCCCCTTCGTGGATATCAAAGAACCCCTCGCTTGAGGACAATAGCTGCGGAACGCTACTAGTGCCGTACAGTAGTACATGACATGTTGCAGTTGACCACCACTTCTCTTGCCGATGCACAGCTCTTTAGCTCAGAGAGCTTTCAATTGAAAACGCGCCAACCACGCGAACGAACGCATTTGGAACAAGAGATGTGAATGCTGTAAGTGAGCTCGCCGTCTCGCGCTGAGGCGGACAACAGCAGTTCAAGAATATGACGGGGAAAGCGGATGGCCGCATGTAGCAGTGTCCGGCCCAAGGCACAATATCTAGTTCGGTACACAACCTTAGTCTTGCCACCAACCTCGTCAACCCCTGCCGGAAGCTCCCCATCGTGGTCTTCTCCTAACACCTATCCGCTAAACGGACAAAAAAAGTCCCTGGCCTCAAACAAACACGATCCGAGTACACACAGACGAAACAGAAACGTCGACTCGTGACCCCACACCATAATGGAAGAACACCGGCGTAGGTCTATGTCAGCAAAAACAACCTCTGGTTTACAAGCACGAGAACGGGCGCGCCTTTGCTGCGACGCCGCTGACAGAAGGACTTCCTGCACAAGAGTAACAGGTCGAATTTACAAGGCAGATTGAAGGCTTTCTTGGGGTCTCATTTCAACTGCTTGCCGAACATTGACTCACGAGAAAACGAGACACCTAGCTTTCGCCCACACTCGGTAGTACCCGACAAAAGGGCTCGGCCAAAGATAAGCGGGCGACGCTCCATGGACCCCATCCCCCACATTCCATGCTTCACCAAGACCCCCAGCCCCTCACCACACGGGCCGTATCGTTTTCGATCGCATCACATCGGCCGGGAGTGAGAAAAACAAAACATGCACACAACCCGAGACGCATGGGGAGAAGCCACAGGTAACCTCCACGATTCACAAAACATCGCACAACAACAGAAAACGTAAATATTATTTAACACAAGACAATAATGACGGTATCAACACGACCATAAAAAAAACTCCCACCACCGACACCAACAACAGCAGTGCAATAGCCCACGTAACCAACTACCTACCATTTATCGCCAGACGCCGTCGACAACGGCTGCTTCTTCTCACAACGAGCGCCGCAAAACGCCTACCACTAACGAAGGCCTGAAACGAAAGGAAGCAAGGATAGCGCGGTCCGGTGATTCTAAATAATCGTTTGTGCAGGAGTCACCACCCGCCCCCCCCCCCCCCCCCCCGGGCCCGGGGAATTTAACCCCTTTTGGACCCCCCCGGGCACCCCCAGCCCCCTGTTGAAACCCCCCGGGTTTGGAACCACCCTCCCCGTCTGGGGGGCGGGGCCCCCCCCCCTCCCCTTTCGGCCCCCCGCGCGGCCGGCCCGGGAAAAAAAATTTCCCGTTTCCC